TTTACCCAAATTACTTTTCATCAGTCTCTTCATACCTTATTATTTACATACATAGGATTTCACAGGATCATGAATTTTCACTGCTCTTTTAAAGTCTTTGTTGTAACTGCCAATTTATATTTTTGACAGAGGATTTTATCCAGTGTTAATTCTTCCATGAGGGCCAACTGAAGTCTTTTGAACAAGTATTACATTTAAGGGAATCCTCTACATACTCTATGCATTTAAATCTGTAAATAAAACCTAGATGAGTAAGTTTCCCATACCCTATAGTGATTCCAATCCTCTCCACAATGCATTCTCGGACATTTTAGATAGGTGATATAATGAAAGCTTTGCCATTCTGTTTAGTGTTTTTAATGTATTGAGCCCAAGTAGAATGTATTCAAAGAGAAGTAGAATGAGTTAAGGCTTTTCTTTATGTACCTAAGGTATTCTCACCCAACTTTATTCATGTTTTAAAGGAAACTGAACATCTGAAGGATTTTCCTTATTGCTTACATATAGAAGCTATCTCATTCATGTGAATTCCTATCTTCAAGAGGATCAAATGAATGTTTTTCCACATTGCTCATGCATGTGGGGTTTTTGCCCAGTATGAATTCTTTCAATTACTTGAAGAGTACTAGAAAAATTGAACAACAGTGTCACTCCTGGTGGTAAGGTCCTGTGTGGACCACAGTACAAATCAACTTCATGGCGACCATATGGGCAGGAGTATGGTGCCAAGTGTAGCCTGGGCAAAATCAAGTCTCAGCAGCAAATGTGAATGAAGACAGTAAATCATGTTCGAGCCACTTCAGTTCCAGGAAGCCTGATAACATCTACAACCACCATCTTTCTGAAGATGTGTGACCTCACTTTGTCCCCCCCTCCAAATTCCTCAGGGCAAAAACTCCCTCCTCTTTAAAGATTTGTTCTCACCTCACTCCCTGCTGAATTGCCTATCTAGAGACAGCCCCCTTGTGTGCTCACATGTGAATGAATAAACAGCTTACTTATTTGTACAAGGACTGCTATAGGAGGTCTCTGCTCTTTTCCTGCCACTGTTACAACTAGGACATTACTTACAGAGGTCTCTCTTGTGTGTACTTGAAGGGAACTGGAACATTATGAATAATTCTCCCACACTGCTTAGCTTTATGTGTCTTCTCTAAAGTGTGGACCCTTTCATGCATTTGAAGTGTATGAGAATGATGAAGGCTTTGCCTGTTTATATGCATAGGGTTTCTATCTAGTGAGCCATTTCATGTCTGTGAAGATGACTGGAACAACTGAAGGCTTTCCCACATTGCTTGCATTTATAAGGACTGTCTCCAGTGTGGAGTCATTTGTGCAGTATAAAGGAACTAAAGTAAAGGTTTTCCCACAATAGGGACATTCATAAAGTTTCTCTCCAGTATGAATTCTCCCATGTACCTTAACTTACATGGGACATCTACAGGCTTTCCCACATTGTTTACATTCATAAGGTTTCTCTCTATTGTGAGTTCTTTTATGTTTCTGCAAACTACTAGTGCTTCTAAAAGCTCTTTTACATTCCCTGCATTCATATGGTTTCTCTCCAGTATGAATTCTTCTGTGCAGCTGAAGTGAAGTACAACATCTGAATGTTTTTCCACATTCCTGGCACACATAGGGCTTCTCACCAGTGTGAGTTCTTTCATGTACACGAAGAGCACTTGAGGACCTGAAGGCCTTCCCACATACTTTACATTCATAAGGTTTCTCTCCAGTATGAATTCTTCTGTGCAGTTGAAGGTAAGTACAACATCTGAATGTTTTTCCACATTCCTGGCACACATAGGGCTTCTCACCAGTATGAGTTCTTTCATGTACATGAAGAGCACCTGAGGACCTGAAGGCCTTCCCACATACTTTACATTCATAAGGTTTCTCTCCAGTGTGAATTCTTCTGTGCAGTTGAAGGGAAGTACAACATGCAAATGTTTTTCCACATTCCTGGCACACATAGGGCTTCTCACCAGTGTGAGTTCTTTCATGTACATGAAGAGCACCTGAGGACCTGAAGGCCTTCCCACATACTTTACATTCATAAGGTTTCTCTCCAGTATGAATTCTTCTGTGCAGTCGAAGGGAAGTGCAACGTGCAAATGTTTTTCCACATTCCTGGCACACATAGGGCTTCTCACCAGTGTGAGTTCTTTCATGTACATGAAGAGCACCTGAGGTCCTGAAGGCCTTCCCACATACTTTACATTCGTAAGGTTTCTCTCCAGTGTGAATTCTTCTGTGCAGTTGAAGGGAAGTACAACATGCAAATGTTTTTCCACATTCCTGGCACACATAGGGCTTCTCACCAGTATGAGTTCTTTCATGTACATGAAGAGCACCTGAGTACCTGAAGGCCTTCCCACATTCTTTACATTTATAAGGTTTCTCTCCAGTGTGAATTCTTCTGTGCAGATAAAGGGAAGTGTAACAGGAGAATGCTTTCCCACACTGCTCACACTGACAGGATTTCTCACCAGTGTGAGTTTTTTCATGTACATGAAGAGCATAAAAGTGACTGAGGGTTTTACCACATTGCTTACACACACAGGGTTTGTCTCCAGTGTGAATTTTTTCATGGTTTTTTAGGTAACTGGAATATCTGAAGGCTTTCTCACATTGTTTACATTCATGCAGTTTCTCTCCAGTATATGTTTTTTCAAACTTCTGAAAGGACTGGGGAAGGGGGAAGGGTTCTTCATGTTGCTTGTATTTACATGGCTTCTCTACATGTCCTTGATTCTTATATGGTTTGTACTCATTATGAGGCCTGAGAGGCACATTTTGGGATGAACACCCAATGAGGACTTCCATACACACATGGCTTCCACATGGACATATTCCAGGTTTCTTATTTAAAGTCTGATCTGGAGACTGATGATTCAAAGATCTGAAGATTTTTCCACACTGACTGCCTTCCTCTTTATATTCACTGTGCACAATCTGACCTCTGTCACAAAGAAGCATATTGTGAATTAATGATTTTACATTTATTAGTAAGTATTGGAGTTAAACACTAGGACAAAAAGTAGAAGATTTATAATCTGAATAATTTGAAAGAGCAGGACTGTACTGAATGCTTAGCACCATGCCTGGACACAGCTAATTTCAAAAGAGTGATACATACACAGGGTTTGCAAGACTGCAAGTTAATTATTTTGCAAACAATGAATGTCTAAGTCACACTTAAATACAAAGTATTCTATATCCAACATTCCTGCAAAAATGTTCTAGGTTTTGAATTCTGAAATATTTGCATATACATAATAAGAAATCTAAGGGCTGGGGATTTAGCTCAGTGGTTCTGCCGCCTGCCTTGCAAGTGGAAGGTCCTGAGTTCAATCCTCGGTACCAAAAAAAAAAACCCATAATGAGAAATCTTGGAGATGGAATCCAAGAATAAATATGAATTACTATTTCATTCACATACATCTATTAACTGAATCAGGAAATTTCATACAATGTTGTTAATAATTTTTTGCATGAAACAAAAAATCTGTGTACATTAAACCATCAAAAAGACTTCTGGTATCACATTAGTGCCCAAGAAATTTAGCATATTGGAGCAATTAAGGTTTTACAGTTGTACAATAAGGATGCTCAACTTGTATTTAATTTAGAAGATCATTTTCTCAGTTATTTTGAAGAGAAGCTTGTATTGTTTTCTTAAAATATATGATGTCATGCCAAATTTTGTTGGGAACAGTGCTTTCTCTTGTAGGTGGAAATTACCGTAAAGACTTCCCAGGATTTTTGTATTCATCTTTACTTCCTTGCTCTCCCCATTTGTATCCTACAATACAGATCCAGAAAAATCATTATTAATTACATGATCAATTATTGCAAAATGCCAGGTATAGTGGCAAATGCCTATAATCTTAGCACTTGGGAGGCTAAAGCAGGAGAACTGCCACAAATGGACTTACTCCATTTTATTTGCCAAAATATTTTTAATACAGAAAATCTCTCAACAGCACTGGTGAGCAAAGAATACTTGTTTGTGAAGTGTCTAACTCAAGGAATGATGTTACCCTTACCTACAGAGACCAAGTTCCTGAAGGTTTCCTGCATCACAGCTCTGTAGAGATTCTTCTGGAAAAGATCCAGCAAAGCCCACTCGTCCTGGGTGAAGTTCACAGCCACATCCTCAAAGGTCACTGACTCCTAAAATATCCCAAAAAGATTTTCAAAAGGGAGAGATTGACATCATTAGTCAATTTATAATGAGATCACATGATGCTGTGCACTCCAAACTTTTACTTCAAGACCTGATTGGTATTTTCTGTCTGCACTCACATTTACATGTGCTGCTGTGGTATCCCGAATTGCTTTCTAACACCTCCCAAAGCCATACTACCTCCTGAGAATCTGCATCCTTTGACAAATTTATCCACTCATTCTGCTGACTTGATTGGCATGCAGGGGTGTAAATGGGATACACCTCACTAATCTAGTAAACAAGAGCTCAATTTGCCTTAAAAGCTCAAATTCCCTGAATTTGAGTGCAACTTACAGCCCAGTTATACACCTGAAGAATACACTGTGCACTTGCATCTTGAGAAAGATATAAACTGATAGAAGTATTTTTTTACAAGGGTTAAAAAAAATACTGAAAATTCCAACTACCAGTGTTGGTGAACCTATGGCATATGTGCCACAGTGGGCTGTTTGCATAACTGAAAGCTCTAAAAGGTTCACTATCACTGCTCTATGCACACTCCTTGTTTAATGACCAAGTTCCCTTCCTGAAACTAGGTCATGCACTGAATTGATCTCTAAATGAGAAAATTATATATAGTATGTAATTACAAAACTCAGAACCAAGAAATGGTCAAAGGAAACTCCAACTTGATGACTTTGCTTTTATTTGTATAACCCTTACATGAAATAACAGAACATAAAACTATGCTCTGCTGTACAGTTCAATCAGCAAAAGTTACAGTACTGTATAAACAAGGTGAACTGTACCAAAAAAAGACACCGATGCTCTCTCTACAAACAAGATGTACAGAATTGTACTTTTTTAAAAAGTGTCTTATGGAGCCAGGGATTTAGCTCAGTGGTCTTGCAACCTGCTGAGCAAGTGCAAGGACCCGAGTTCAATCCCTGGTACAAAAAAAACTGTCTTAAGTCTAAGCAGTGTGTCATAAGTCTGAACAGCATGCTTCCATTGTTAAGTCCACATAGCCATTAAATGAAGACAAACTGCATCAGACATCATATTATTAAAATAGTTCAATGAAAATGACTCATTTTTCCTAAGAACACAGTTCTCCAATAACCTTAAGAAAAAAACAGCAGCCACCAACAGGTCATCACATTAGCTGGTTTAAGGCAATACTGATGCCTCACATGTCAGAAAAGGTAGGAATGAAAATTATTCAGAAAATTAAGGATATCTTATAACATAGCTATGATATAGAAAATCTCATTAATAACTGTGATTGCAGAACAGATGCAATCTAGATATAAGCTTTAGCAAAACAATAAAGCATCTCTTCCTATATTTCCTCACATGGCCTTTTATGGCATCTTACCGGCTACTATGAATTCTTCAAGGTTACACTGATCACATAGTTGGTATTTCTAGAAGCCGTGTGAATGTACAATTTTGGCTCATTAATGAAGAAGATCCTGCAAGTCATTGCAGAGGACCAGTGAAACTAAAATACTGCTAACCATGAACCTGCTTGCTACTGTAAAAATCACTGGAAATGCCAAATATCCTTGACAGTGAGATTGGCATTAATGGAGCCATCACTCTATCTGCCTCTACAATAAATACCTTCCTTGGAGGACAGAAAGACATAGCAAGTATATAATAAAAAGAACTTACTAGTCAGGAGTGTAAGACAAAAACTGAACATATATAACAATTACAGAGCCAAAAGTAACAGGGATAATTGTTCGGCTATTTCTCTGGAAGTTCAGAAGTGTATATGTAACCCTTGAAAAAATCTGTGCACCCATAAGACATGAGACATTTCTACATATCAAAAAATTTCAAAGATAACATCACTTCTAAAGAGTTTGTTTATATCGGCAAATTTATTTTATTCCAGATGAATCAGTTTTATTATTACTCGAGGAACTTTTGGAAGCAAATAGTTCTTAGAAATGAGCCCAGTCAAAAGAATGCACTCAAATTTTTCTGGCCCTTTGGCACAGCTGTTCTGCCTGTACCATATATGATCAACAGATCTCATAAGACGATGCTCCAAATCACTCCCTTCTGCATCAAAAGAGGCAGACCATGTATTTTGGGGTATTGTGGCCCAAAAAAAGAACGCTTTTGAGTTGACAGGGCAAGGAGAGAACTGCTGCTTGGGAATCACTGAAGTTAACAGGAAAATGATGATGAGAACTCCCTGAAAGCAAAGGGGGTTGGGTAAGTTGAGTCTCATGAAAGGTCCAAAGAAGGGAAGTGGGTATCAGTTTCTGATTGCTGATAACTATCTTCATGTAGAATAGAGACAGGGGAAATAGAAGGCTACACATGGTCACCACAGCCATGAAGGTGTAGCTCAAAGATAAAGCACCCACCCATACACAAGACTTTCAGTTCTTTCCCAGAAGAGCAAGAACAAAATAACCCATAAAAAGAAAAACCTGTCAGTAATCATCAAAAGTTTTGTCAAACACTACCTTTCGAGTCTAGCAGGGAAGGATAGAAAATGAAAAATTACCATCTACACTGGAAGAGAACAAATGAATATAAATGACACAAATCTTTCAGACACAGAAGAAAGGTCAAAAGGCAAACACTGGCTGAAGAGCAGAGCCCTCCCCCTAGAGTGCCAGGAGCTGAGCCTTTAGGGCAGCCAGACCAATGACCCAAGCACCAAAGAGCAGAGCTCCCCCCCCAGTGCCAAGCAGGTGAGCCACACGAGCAACAGCAGAACACAAACAAACCCGTTCAAATGAGAAGATACGTAAACAAGTCCCAAATCCAGACTTCCAGATCACCTAAGGCAACGGCAAAAGGAAACAAGATGGAACAATCTGATATTCAACCACCTGGACTCCCTGAACTGGAAAAAAATGAGAATCTAGAAAAAATGAAATCAGAAATAAATTCTCAAATAACAGCAGAGACGGTGCCCATAGTGCAAGTCATGATTAATAAATCTACAGAGGACACAGATAAAACTATAGAGGATCTGAGGAACATGATGGAATCCCAACATAGGAAACAAATGGAATCCATAAATCAGATGCAAACAGATTTCCAGGAGATTAAAATCTCCATTGAAAGTTTATGCAGTAGAATGAGCCAATGTGAGGACAGAATTTCAGATACACAAGAAAAATTGCAATTAGTGACAAGGAAAAAAAATTTCTTGAAAATACTAAGGGACCACAACAATTGATTCAGCAGCTGCTAGACAATAAAAAGCAGAATAACAAAAGACTGAAGAGAGTCAATGAAGAAACAGGAGACAGTGCAGATGACATTAAAAAATGGTTCACAGAAGTAATGGCAGAAAACTTCTCAAGCAGGAGGAAAGAATTGGACATACAGATAAGTGAAGGATATAGGATTCCAACTAGCCTTGATCAAAAAAAAATCAACACAGGCATATAATAGTTAAGATTCCAGAAACCCAATAGAAGAACAAAATTCTACAAGCACTTAGAGAAAAAGAACAAATCACATACAAAGGAAAGCCCATCACAATCTCAGCAGACTTCTAAATACAAACCCCTAAGGTAAGAAGAGATTGGAGTGATGTATTTCAAATCCTAAACAAAAACAGCCTCCAATCCAGATTGCTGTACACTTCAAAACTATCTGTCAAAATCGATGGAGAAATGAGATACTTTCATGACAAAGAGCACCTGAGGAACTTCATGAATATGAAACCAGAACTCTGAAAATTTTTAGACAGTATCTTAGGAAAAGATAACCAGGATGACAACCCCAGGAAGGCCAACAGAATGAATACATAAGGCAAGACAAGAAATTAAGTGCAAAGGGGGAGAATCCAACAAAAACAAAAAGTCATGACAATAAGTCAATACATATCAGTTATAACCATCAATGTTAATGGTCTCAATTCACCAATCAAAAGAAATAGATTGGCAGAAGGGTCAAGAAGCAAGATCCAACAATATGCTGCATACAAGAAAGACAATTAAAAAAAACCTCATAGACTGAAATTTAAAGGATGGAAAACAATACTCCATTCAACAGAAACCCCCCCAAAAAGCATGAGTAGCTATCCTCTTTGCAGATCAAGTTCATTTCAAACCAAAACTGATTAAGAGACAAAGAAGGACACTCGATCATTGTAAAGGAACAACCCAAGAGGAAGAGATGACAATCATAAATATATATGCATTGAACACTAGTGTGCCCAACTATATGAAACAAATACTAAAGGACATGAAAAATCAAATAACCACTAATACAATAGTAGTGGGGCACCTCAATAACCCACTGTCACAAATAGATCAAGTAGACAAAGAATGAACACCAAAATACTAGAACTCAATCAAACTCTTAAACAACTGAACTTACCAGAAGTTTACAATGTTCCACAACACAAAATCAGAATATGCATTATTCTCAGCTGCACATGAGTCATTCTCCAAAATGGACCACACACTTGCTCACACAACATGTTTAAGTAAGTGCAAAGGAACTTAAGTTATCCCCTATATATGAGCAGACCAGAGTCCAATAAAACTGGAGATCAACAGCAAAAGAAATCACAAGAATTTCATAAACACATGGAAATAGAACAACACACTTCTGAATAACCAATGGGTTACAGAGGAAATTAAAAAAGAAACCAGACAATTCCTACAATTAAATGACAATGACAATTCAACATATCGGAATCTAAGGGACACAATGAAAGCAGACATAAGAGGGAAATTCATAGCAGTGGATACTCATATTAGGAAAATAGAGTGAGCGCAATTAAACAACCTGATGCTGAACATCAAGCTTCTAGAAAAAGAACTGCAGGACAAACGCAAAGGACATACAAGGGAGGAAATTATAAAGATCAGAGGAGAAATCAATGCAATGGAGACTAAGAGAACGATACACAAAATCAATAAAGAAAAGAGCTGGATCTGAAAAAGAATTTTAAAAAATGGACAAAACCTTAGCCAACCTTATTTAAAAAGGAGAGAAAAGGCCCAAATCCATGCAA